TACTGGGAAGAGGGAGGGAGGCTGCAGGTAACAAGTAGAGTGAACCAGAAATCAAGGTCCACAGTCTGACATGTGCCAGAGCACTTCAAGAAACAAACCAGATCTTTTAAATCCCCCCTCTCATGGAAAATTCTGCATTTGTGGATTATACAGATATGATGGAAAGGTTAAAGATTTAGATATATTTCTAGGACAGATAGAAATGAATACTTGGGGCCAGGCATGGTGGCTCACCCCTGTAATTGCAGCACTTTGGGAGGCCAAGGCGAGTGGATCACCTGAGACCAGGAGTTCGAGACCAGCCTGGCAAACATGGTGAAATTCGATCTCTCCAAAAATATAAAAAATTAGCTGGGAACGGTGGCAGACACCTGTAGTCCCAGCTATTCAGGAGGCTGAGGCAGGAGAACTGCTTAAACCCAGGAGGGAGAGGTTGTAGTGAGTCAAGATCATGCCACTACACTCCAGCCTAGGTGACAGAGCAAGACTCCATGAAAGAGAGAGAGAGAGAGAGAGAGAGAGAGAGAGAGAGAAAGAAAGAAAGAAAGAAAGAAAGAGAGAGAGAGAGAGAGAGAGAAAGAAAGAAAGAAAGAAAGAAAGAAAGAAAGAAAGAAAGAAAGAAAGAAAGAAAGAAAGAAAGAAAGAAAGAAAGAAATAAAGAGAAAGAGAAAGAGAGGGAGTGAGGAAGGAAGGAAGCAGGGAAGAAAGAAAGAAAGAAAGAAAGAAAGAAAGAAAGAAAGAAAGAAAGAAAGAAAGAAAGAAAGAAAGAAAGAAAGAAAGAAAGAAAGAAAGAAAGGAAGGAAGGAAGGAAGGAAGAAAGGAAGGAAGAGAGAGAAAGAGAGAAAGAAATAAAGAGAAAGAGAAAGAGAGGGAGTGAGGAAGGAAGGAAGCAGGGAAGGAAGGAAGGAATGAAGTAAGGGAGGGAGGGAGGGAGGGAGGAAGGAAGGAAAAGAAAGGAAAGAAAAGAAAGAAAGAAAGAAAGAGAGAAAGAAAGAAAGAAAAGAAAAGAAGAGAAAAGAAAAGAAGAGAAAAGAAAAAAAGAGAAGAAAGACTGGCTGGCTTAGGATATGTGCTTTAAAAAAAACATGACTGAAAAGCAGAAGGAACACAAATCAGATATATAAGTTATCAGGCAAGGACTTTAAAATAACTATGATTAATATTTTTTCAACTTTAAGCAGTCATGCTCAACTCATGGCCTCAGATTCCTCATTCATAAAATGAGGTTTAAATGGATACTTTGGCGGTTAGTGTAGAGATTAGCCCTTTCAAACTCAGCTCCTAATTTGACTGGTGTCAAATGCTGGCCACCCCTCCTTTGGAATCTCAAAAGGCTTTGGAAAGGGACCCTAAGACAGTAACCTGTTTCCTTACTCTGCTTCTCCGTGCACCCTTTCTCCACTCTCCTGCCCCTAGCTCTTCCCACTTCTGGTTTGTTCTCACTATTTGTCTTCTCCCTTTCTCCACTTTGAAATTTCGTTTCCATCTCAACAGAGCAGTCACATTTTTCCCGTCTATTCCCAAGGTTACAGGAGAACTGAGTGGAGTGTTTGGCCTTTCAGAAGTGGTCTGAGAGCTCACAGTTTGCATATGTCTACATCTTTGAAAACAGTTCTGGTACTCAAACTGAGGCATCAGTAGTAAGGGATTCAAAACATCTGCCCAGGGAGGATTGTTTGAGTCCAGGAGTTCGAGGCTGTGGTGAACTATGATCATGCCACTGCACTCCAGCCCGGGTGAGGGGGAGATCCTGTCTCTTAAATTTAAAAACAAAAAACAAAAAACAACTGCCCACTGATGGGAAAGACGAAGGACTGCCTTAGGAAAATTCTAGATGCATTGGAGGCCTGATTGAAGTTGTATGGACATGAAATGCTTTCATGAAGGGCATAAAGGCAAGTTCTCAATAAACAAGGTATATTCAATACACAGAGTTATATCTTTTTTCCTCCAAAGGATAGAAAAGAATTGAGGTTGAAGGACAAAGCCACAGATATAAAGACAACAGGAGATAGGAAAGTACTACCTCAGAAATAGCAATAAAATTTTGGAAGTTGGAAAACAGATGAACAATGGAAAATGCTGAGCAGTCTAAATAGAAGCTAAGCCCACAGAGGGGAAAGTCTAAGCCAGAAGCAAGCAGATTCACCTGCAGAACGTCACAAAGGCGCAGGCATGAACAACACCAAAAACTCGTAGCCAGGAGTAAGGCCTGGGACCAAAAGCAAGAGGACTGATCTGTATGAGGGACAGTGAGACCTCCCCGAGTTCCTTCTCCCTCACTGTCCTCCACCCTGGCAGAAGACGAGCTTTACACTTAGCAGGAACTGAGTCAAGAGCTCATAGTAGACTCTTGCATATCAGGCCCAGCTGAGAGTGGGAATGAAGTACTGTACAGAAAGCTGATGGGTTCAGTAAAAATTTACATATTAAATTTGGGACTCTGTCTCCCTTCTCATGTTTGGTTCGGGAATGCTGACATTTAAACCCAACCCATATCCCTCCATGGTAGACAGAATGATGGCCCTCCAAAGATGTCCATGTCCTAATCCCTGGAACCTGTGACTAGGTTCCTTTACACAGCAAAAGAGACTTTGCAGGTGTGATTAAATTAAGGCTCTTGAGATGGAGAGGTTATCCTGGATTATCCAGGTAAGCCCATGCAACCACAGGGTCTTTATTAGAATTATACCCAAATACTGCACTCTAATTAGTATATTGTTTTCCACAGGGGTATAGGTCAGCAATTCTGAAATTATTTTATGTATACGCTAGAACTGAACAAATAGGCAAATACATTGCAAATAATAAGAACCAGGATTCTTCCTCAGCGTTTGAGAAAGGAGTTATAATAAGGAAAGGGGAAAAGCTAAATAAGTCCTGTGGTATTTGATTTTTAAAATTTTATTTATTTATTTATTTTATTTATTTATTTTTTTTTTTGAGGCGGAGTTTCACTCTTGTTGCCCAGGCAGGAGTGCAATGGTGTGATCTCATCTCACTGCAACCTCCGCCTCCCAGGTTCAAGCGATTCTCCTGCTTCAGCCTCCTGAGTAGCTGGAATTATAGACACCCAACACTGTGCCCGGCTCGTTTTTGTATTTTTAGTAGAGAAGGGATTTTATCATGTTGGTCAGGCTGGTCTCAAACTCCTGACCTCAAGTGATCCACCCGCCTCGGCCTCCCAAAGAGCTGGGATTACAGGCATGAGCCACCATGCCCGGCCGTGGTATTTGATTTTAATCAGAGGAAAAAATATGTATATGTGTGTGTGTGTATATGTATATGTATATACATACATATATGTGTATATATGTATGTGTATATATATGTATGTATATGTATATATGTATGTATATATATGTATGTATATGTATATACATATATGTATGTATATACATATACACACACACATATACACACACACATATATATATACACGCATGCACATACACACACATACCCATACACACACATATATAATGACACACACATAAATGTGTGTATATGCACACACATACAAATGAGTAAAGATGTGTGCACATGTGTGTGAGTACACATATTATTTTGTAGCCCTTTCCATTGAGTGGGCCTAGAAGCAATGACATCTAGTAACAAGAGACACAGCACCCAAATCTTGGGTCTTAAATACCATTCTCCAATAAAAGGAGTGGGGACTCCTTGGAGAAATAGTTGATTCCAGCGAGGAGGCAAGGAAACTTCAAGATAAACCTGGAACATCTGACTCTACTTGTGTAGAGTCAGAAAGTTAGGAAGTGCTTATAAAATGATGGAGGTGTGTTGAAAGGACACAGGCATCAGGTGAAGGAGCTCCCAATGGCCAAATCTAGGACATTTGAGTAACAAAATAAAGAGTAATGAATTGTAATCCACAGAGTAAAATAAATATCCATGAGTCATATTAACATAAAATAAGTAATTAACTACATGAAGAGGAGAGAACAGCTCTTCCTTACAGTAGAATTGCAAATAATAAATGTACAAGAAATTATTTTTTAAATTACCATTTGGCCAATACCACAATTAATCATTGTTGTGGGCAAGAACCGTCAATGGATGCTAAAATTCATGAATGCAAGTACAGCGAGAAACAAGAGTCCTCACAAGACACTAACTAATTACAAAGGGAAAAAAATGGTAACTTTACAGTGGAGAAACCTGGCAGACATCCTAAGTGATCAAAATTAACATCACCAGTAATGAAATGTAGCTCCTGATAGGATGCACTTAAGCACAACATCACTTTTGTGCTATCCTTACAAAAATGTGTAATACTAACATAAGAGGAGATCACACAAACCTAAACTGAGGGACATTCTACCATCTAACAGGCCAGTATTCTCCAAAAACATCAAGGTTGTGAACAACAAAGGAATGAACCCAGATTGTACGAGACTGAGTAGAAATGACAACTAAATGCAATGCAGGATCCTGCATGAGATCCTGGAGCAGAAAAGAGACATTTTCAGGATAACTGGCAAAATTCTGATAAGGTTTAGAGACTACTTAATAGTGATATACCATGTTAATTTCCTGATTTTGGTGATTATACTATGTTATGTAAAATGGCAAAATTAGGGGAACTGTAAATGATATAAGAGAATTCATTATACTAATTTTACAACTTTGAAGTCTGAAATTATTTTAAAATAATGTTTTAATCAAGTAGTAATTATTGCTCTACTGATTTTTGTTAATCAAAGATATATATAACTCTTAGAGTTTAACAGTCAAAATGCTCCTATATTGCATTACCACACTGAGTTTATGTGAATTCAGCCTAAAGCAACAAAATTTGATGTTTTAACCTATGTAATTGTATTAAAATAGGTGTTTTCTATTGAAATAATAAAAATAGCTCATAGATTTCATTACCATCTTTGAAGACTTTTAGGAGGATGAGGTTCCCAGATGTGTACGTCACATAGATGGAGTCTAATATAGCTTTGATTATTTGTTTCCTCTTTTCTTTTCTTTAGGTTAAACCACAGCTTGAAGAAAAAACAAATCAGAGTTACGAAAAATTGGAAGCTGTGGAGTATAAAACTCAAGTCGTTGCTGGAATAAATTACTACATTAAGGTTAGAGTTCAGCACCTACTTTAGCGCCAAAAGATCTATTTCTCATTTTATGTAAAATGTTCCCTGATTTCCCTACCATATAATTCCTTCCTTACAGTTGTCCTAAATTAAGATGCCCAGCATGATTCCTTCCAAGTGGTAGACTCTCAAATTTGGTAAATGATGTGATGCCATTTTTTTTCTTGTGAATTCAGAAAGCTTTATTACATTGATTCTTGATTTCTGGAAATTGTATAGAAAAAGATTTCAGAACAGTTCAGGGCATGCTGGATTTGTGGCTGTGCTGTTTCTTAGGTAAGGAGGGAGGATCACGTCTCATCTGCCTGAAGGCGTGGGGCTGGACCACATGGTATCTTGAAGCCGATTCCACCTCAAAGCTGTATGATTCTATATGTTTAAATTAAATAAATTAAAGTAACGACTCAAATCATTAGCTAGGAAAATAATTTAAACCTTTTTTGTCCTTTAAATAAGCATTTTGATTAATATAATGTAAATATTATTTTGTAATTCAAATTAGTAGATTTAACTTATGGCACTCTAGGTATAGTTTAAAGCAGTGGAGTAGTTAAAATAGTTTAAAAGTTAATTTTATAGCTCTGTCAGAAAATTACACGATACATTGATCCAGTTCTAATTGAAGTTACCAAGATGAAACCAACTGAACAAGTCAACCATGAATATTTAAAAGCCATTTTTGTCCTTATGTATTAAGAAGATGATAATTCTGATTTTAAAAATAAAAACAAATATTAAAGTATGTTTACTTAATCTTTACTTAACCATTCGACCAGGGCACAGTGTGGCTTATTTCTCTTTAACAAACAATTCAATTAAAATATAAACATTTTAAAAGACGTTTTCAGCAAAAAATAAACATAAGTAAGTGGAGCTAGTCAGCTTAGCATAAGAAAGTTTCAGTACCGAGCTATGTATATGGATCAGCCCTGTTCTGCCAAATGTGAGCTCCTAGTAAAGACCAGGTCCCGGGGAGACACATGTCACAGAGGACCCTGCTGTATCCTCAGAAAACAATGGCACCATTTCCTCCATTTTCAATCTGATTTCTTCATGGCTGGAAAAGAACGTTTTCCAGTTAAAAATGATTATGTGCAAAGATAGGAAGCATTCCATCAACATTAGAATATTTATTTTAATAATTTATGATTAATTCAAATGCATACATTTCACATGTTACCACATATTACATTTCACATATTACCGCATATTACCAGCTCACATGTCTCTTCAACAGTTCATCAGATAATTATCTTGAAAATTTCTTCTCTTGACCACCCTTTTGCCCTCTCTTAATCAGTCTCTCTCTCTCTCTCTCTCTCCTTCTCTCTGTCTCTGTCTCTTTCTCTCTCTGTCTCTCTCATCTTTTCTTCCTTCTGCTATCGAATTTTTCCTACTGGATCTCAGCCACTGATCCCAGTTCCCTTTTACTTTCTGGTAGTCTGGCTGTTGATCCCTTTGCTCTGAGCCACTCTAGATTTAAGGTCTTGCCAGTGACGAGACCTTCTCTATGTATTTCAGGTACCTATCAAGAGGCAGGTGGTAGAATGGAAGGACCACAGGCTTAGGTGTCAGAGTGTCCTGGGTTTGAACCCTTGAAGCTCCTCCTCCTCTCTGAGCCTTCATTCCCTTATCTGCACAATGAGGGTAATAATCTGCTTCACAGGGTGTTGTGAGGAATAAATAAGCTGGAAATTTATTGAGCACTTACAATTCACCATGCACTGTTCTAAGAACAGGGCTTGTATTATCTCATTTAATCCTCACAACAAATCTATGAGATAAGTACAATCACTTCTCTTGGGTTACCAATGAAAAAATTGAGCTCCAGGGTGGTGAAGAGACTAAAAAGGTCATACAACTATAAGATCTGAGTCAGGATTTGAGCCCAGATAGACTGAGCTTACCTACTGGCTGTGCTGCCTCTAATATAAAGCACAAAATAAGAGCTTTTAAAAGGTTACACTGGCCTGGTGTGGTGGCTCACGTCTGTAATCCCAACACTTTGGTAGACCAAGGCGGGAGTATAGCTTGAAGCCAGGAGTTTGAGATCAGCCTGGGCAACATACCGAGACCTTGTCTCTACAAAGAAAATGTTTTAATTACCTAGGCATGTTGATGCACATCAGTAGTCCTAGCTACTTGGGAAGATGAGGTAGAAGGATCACTTGAGCCAAGGAGTTTGACGTTGCAGTGAGCTGAGATCGCACCACTGCACTGCAGCCCAGGCAACAGAGCGAGGCCTCATTCCCCCATCAGTACCCTCCAAAGAGGTTACATTGTAGAGTGAAAAGAATGTAGATGCTAGAGCCTAACAAATCTTGGTTTGAATATTGGCTGTGCCACTTATTAGCTGAGAAATTTATGGACAGTCACTTAATCTCTCTTACTCTGCTTCCACATCTGTAAAATTTCATTGCTCCACCTTTCTTCAGGCCTATAATATAAGTTAATATAATCATTTATATAAAATGTTCATCATAGTGTCTGGCTAACAGTAAACATTTGATATATGGCATTTGTTAAAATTAGGATAGGAAGTGACATCAGAAGCACAATAAATATTTTTATAAGACAAAGCATTTATTGTCTCAAGCAAGAACTAAAGTAAAAATTCTTAGCATAATTTTCCAGGTCTCAGATTCATGTCCAAACTACTGCTTCTGCTTCAACCTTCATACCAATGACTTCCTAGTAAAACCCCTTAGCTTTTTTTTTTTTTCTTTTTTGAGACAGAGTTTCACTCTGTCGCTCAGGCTGGAGTGCAGTGGCACAATCTCGGCTCTCTGCAACCTCCATCTCCCAGATTCAAGCGATTCTCCTGCTTCCGCCTCCCAGGTAGCTGGGATTACAGGTGTGCACCACCATGCCCAGCTAATTTTGTATTTTTAGTTTTCACCATGTTGGCCAGGTTTGTCTCAAACTCCTGACCTCAGGTGATCCACCCGCCTCGGCCTCCCAAAGTGCTGGAATTATAGGCGTGAGCCACAGTGCCCGACCCCTTCACTCTAGAAGGGAGGGTGTCCGCCCCCTGGGCTCTGCTCAATCTTACCAGTGGGCGTTTATAAAGTAGGTTCTGATATAGGTATATGAACCCTGCATCCCAAATTTTCTAGGGCAATTCTGATTTTCTTTTCCCTTATCAGACTGTATGGCAAATAAAGTGTCCCAAGTTGGGAGTCAGAAAACAGCATCACCAAAAATATAGGCTGTCACTGGTTTTCTTGCTCCATGCATCTTTGAAAATAAAATGCTGTCCTTTGTGCCCAGATTATACTAAAAAAAATAACAAAATAAACCTAGGACCTATGCCTCTTGCCATGCCATTAGTCTACAATTTTTTTTTTTTTTTTTTTTTTTTTTAGGCAGAGTCTTGCTGTATCACTCAGGCTGGAGTGCAGCAGCGCAATCTCGGCTCACTGCAACCTTCTCCTCCTGGGTTCAAGTGATTTTCCTGCCTCAGTCTCCCGAGTAGCTGGGATTACAGGCATGCACCACCATGCCTGGCTAATTTTTTGTATTTTTAGTAGAGACAGGGTTTCACCATGCTGGCCAGGCTGGTCTCGAACTCCTGACCTCGTGATCCACCTGCCTCAGCCTCCCAAAGTACTAGGATTACAGGTGGGAGCCACGGCGCCCAGCCTACTCTACTCTTTCTCTCCTAAAATAAGGTGGTGGATTTATGAATACAAAGAGTCTAAGAATGGGTGGACTAGGTCTAGCAATGCTATTCCTCAGCAGCTTTTTGGACAGAAGTCTTTATAGATCTGTAGCTCTCTCACTTGATGTAGACCCATTTGAATAAATCTCCTTTTGCTTTCTCTCTTTTTTAATACTTTTCAGGTACGAGCAGGTGATAATCATTATATGCACTTGAAAGTATTCAAAAGTCTTCCCGGACAAAATGAGGACTTGGTACTTACTGGATACCAGGCTGACAAAAACAAGGACGATGAGCTGACGGGTTTTTAGCAGCATGTTCCCAAAGTGTTCTGATTCCTTCCACTGGCTACTGAGTCATGATCTTTGCTGATAAATAAAACCATCAATAAAGAAGCATTCTTTTCCAAAGAAATTATTTCTTCAATTATTTCTCATTTATTGTATTAAGTAGAAATTACCTTTTCTTTCTCAAAATCAGTGCTACTGCTTTAGAGTATAAATTCCATATAAATTGATGGCAATTGGAAATCTTATAAAAACTAGTTAAGCCTAATGCAATTGGCTAAAGGATAGTACCACACTCACCCCCACCATAGGCAGGCGGGATCATGGACTATCAGTTCGTCAGCCTCCTTGTTCCCTGTGGCTGCTGATAACCCAGTATTCCATCTCTACCCTCATATTTTAAAATTAAATCAAGTATTTTACAAAGTGTGTGTATGTGTGTGTGTGTATATATATATAAAAAAATATATATATATATATATATATTTTTTTTTTTTTTTGAGATGGAGTCCTGTTCTGTCACCCAGGCTGGAGTGCAATGGCACAATCTTGGCTCACTGCAACCTCTGCCTCCTGGGTTCAAGCGATTCTCCCGTCTCAGCCTCCCAAGTAGCTGGGATTACAGGTGCCCACCACTGCACCTGGCTAATTTTTGTATTTTTAGTAGAGACAGGGTTTTGCCATGTTGGCCAGGGTGGTTTCGAACTCCTGACCCTAGGTGATCTGCCCACCTCAGCCTCCCAAAGTGCTGGGATTACGGCGTGAGCCACCATGCCTGGCCTATATTTTTATTCTGAAACAAACTTAAACATAGAGAAAAGTTGCAAAAAAAAAAAAACTTTTTTTTCCTGGACATTTGAGACTTAAGTTACTTACCATGATGCCCCATCACCAACAAATACTTCAGTGTGCATTTCCTCCAAACGAGGATCTTCTCCTGCAAAACTGAAATACAGCCATCAAAATCAGGAAATTGGCAGGTCATAGTGGCTCATGCCTGTAATCCCAGCACTTTGGTAGGCCAAGGCAGCAGGATTGCTTGAGGACAGGAATTCAAGACAAACCTGGGCAACATAGCGAGACCATGCCTCTAAAAAAAAAAAAAAAAAAATTAAAATTTAGCTGGGCATGGTGGTACACACCTGTAGTACTAGCTACTTGGGAGGCTGAAGTGGGGGGATGGCTTGAACCCAGGAACTCGAGGCTACAGTGAGCTATACTCATGCCACTGCTTGAGTGATGGAGAGAGACCACGTCTCTAAAAAAATAAAAATTAAAAATTAAATTAAGCAATTAGGAAATTAACACTGATACACTGGTAGCATCTAATCCCCAGACACCATACAAATTACCCTACTTGTCCCAATAATGTCATTTATGACAAAAAGATCCAAGCCAGGTGAGGTGGCAAGCACCTGTAGTCCTAGCTACTCAGGTGGCAGAGGCAGGAGGATCTCTAGAGGCCAGAAGTTCAAGGCCATGGTGTGCAATGATCATGCCTGTGAATAGCTACTGCTGGGCAACATAGCAAGACCCCATATCCAAAAACAGATCCAATCCAAAATCATGTGCTCCATTTAATTGCCATTTTCCTCTTATTTAATACCTTTATTGAGACATAAATTGAAACATACAACTTACTCATTTAAACTGTACAGGTGAATAGTTTTATACCACATTCACAAATGCATGTAAACCTCACACAATTTTAGAAGATTTTCATCACCTCAAAAAGAAGTCTCATACCTGTTAGCTATCACTTCTCCAGCCTCCTCCACACATACTTCAACCCCTAAGCAACAACTAATTTACTTTCTGTCTAGATTTGCCTGGTCTGGACATCGATATATGTGGAATTATATAATATGTGGTCTTTTGTAACTGGCTTCCTTCACTTAGCATAGTTTTCAAAATTCATCAATGTTGTAGCATGTGTCAGTATTTTATTTCTTTTTATGCACAAATATTTCATTTTATCAATATATCACACGTTGTTTGTTAACTAATCAGTTGATAGATATTTAAGTTGCTTTCACCTTTTGACTATCAGGAACACTGCTACTATAAATATTTGTGTACAAGGTTTTGTGTGTATATATGTTTTCATTTCTCTTGGGTATATACCTAGGAGTAGAATTTGCTGGTTCATATGGTAACTAACTCTATGTTTAATTGTTTGAGAAACTTACAGACTATTTTCTGAAGAGGCCACAGCATTTTACATTCCCACCAACAGTGGATGAGAGTTCCATTTTCTCCATATCCTCATCCACACTTGTTATTATCTGAGTTTTTTTAAGGTTAGCCAACCTGGTGGATGTGAAATAATAGCTCATTGTGGCTTTGATTTGTATTTCCCTGATAACTAATGCTGTTGAACATCTTTTCATGAGATGATTAGCCATTTGTATTAGGTTGGTGCAAAAGTTAGTGTAGTTTTTGTCATTTAAAAATAATAACAAAAACTACAATTACCTGTCTTAGTCCATTTTCTGTTGCTTATAACAGAATATCTGAAACTGGTAATTTACAAAGAAAATGAATTTATTTATTACAGTTATGGAGGCTGAGAAGTCCAAAGTTCAGGGCCAGGCACAGTGGCACATGTCTGTAATCTCAGTATTTTGGGAGGCCGAGGCAGGTGGATCACCTGAGGTCAGGAGTTTGAGACCAACCTGACTAACATGGTGAAACTCCGTCTCTTTACTAAATACAAAAAAAAAAAATAGACAGGAGTGGTGGCACATGCCTGTAATCCCAGCTACTTGGGAGGCGGAGGCAGGAGAATCACTTGAACCCGGGAGGTAGAGGTTGCAGTGAGCTGAGATCGTGCCATTGCACTCCAGCCTGGGCAACAAGTGTGAAACCCTGTCTCAAAAAAAAAAAAAGTTTGATACTGCTAAAGGCTATACTATACTAGACATGGGATTGCCACCATGTCTGGCCTGTCTATAGTTTTCTTATGACACCTTTGTCTGGTTTTGGTAGAATTGGTGAATTGTTATTAATTCTTCTTTAAACTTTTTTTTTTTTTTTTTTTTTTTTTTTTTAGAAATGGTCTCACTCTGTTGCCCAGGCTGGAGTGCAGTGCCCAATCTCAGCTCACTGAAACCTCCGTCTCCTGGGTTCAAGTGATTTTCCTGCCTCAACCTCTCAAGTAGCTGGGATTACAGGCACCCACTACCACCCTGGGCTAACTTTTATATTTTTTCAGTAGAGACAGGGTTTCACCATGTTGGCCAGTCTGGTCTCAAACTCCTGACCTCAAGTGATCCACCTGCCTTGGCTCCCCAAAATGCTGGTATTACAGGTGTGAGCCATTGTGTCCAGCCTTCTTTAAACCTTTAGTACAATTCAGCAGTAAAGCCATCTGGGCCTGGGCTCTTCTCTGTGGGTAGTTTTTTAAATTACTAATTCAATATCCAAACTTATTATAGGTCTATTTAGGTTGACTGTTTCTTCTTGAGTCAGTTTTGGGAGTATGTGTTATTCTAGGAATTTGTTCATTTTATCTATGTTATCTATTATTGGCATACAATTGTTCATAGTATTCCTTTATAATCCTTTCATTTCTGTAAGGTCAATATTAATGTCTCCCCTTTCATTTCTGATTCTAGTAATTTGAGTATTCTCTCTTTTTGCTCTTAGTCTACCTGTAGGTTTGTCAACTTTGTTCATCTTTTCAAAAAAACAACTTTTGTTTCAATGATTCAATGTAGTGTTTTTCTATTCTCTATTTTATTTATTTCTACTCTAATGTTTATTATTTCTTTCCCTTTGCTTGCCTTGGGTTGACTTTGATCTTCTATTTTCTGTGTCTTAAGGTAAAAGGTTAGGTTATTGATTTGATATCATCTTTTTTGGCATAAGTGTTGACAGCTATAAATTTCCCTCTAAGCATTGCTTTAGCTCATTCCATAAGTTTTGGTATGTTGTTTATTTTCATTCATGTCAAAGTACTTTCTAATTTTCCTTTTGATTTTTCCTTGATTTCTTTCTTGATTTCTTCTTTGACCCATTGATTATTTAGGAGTATGTTAATTTCTATGTATTTGTAAAGTCTTCCATCCTTGCTCCTGTCCCCCATCCTTGTGACTCCCACCTCCACCCTCCTCACCCCATCACCTGCCCCCCAATGCTCAGTCATTTACATCCTGTCCTAGACCACTGCCACTATCCCTTTACCTAAGTACCTGCCCTCTCCACACCAGCTATGCTCCACCATGGTGGGTGGGCACCTGCCCATGGAGAAACCAACTCCAACATCTAGTTTCGGACCATCCAAAACCAATATCTGGGCCGGGCGTGGTGGCTCAAGCCTGTAATCCCAGCACTTTGGGAGGCCGAGACGGGTGGATCACGAGGTCAGGAGATCGAGACCATCCTGGCTAACACGGTGAAACCCCCTCTCTACTAAAAAATACAAAAAACTAGCCGGGCGAGGTGGCGGGCACCTGTAGTCCCAGCTACTCGGGAGGCTGAGGCAGGAGAATGGCGTAAACCCGGGAGGAGGAGCTTGCAGTGAGCTGAGATCAACAAGAGCAAAACTCCGCCTCAAAAAAAAAAAAAAAAAAAAAAAAAACAAAAAAAAAAAACAATATCTGCTGTTCTTGGCCCTACTTAATGGATTTGGGGCTGAATTGTTAAGGAAGGAGAGAGGAAGAAGGAGTGGAGGGGAGAGTAAAGGAAAAGGAGAGAATGAGAGAGGCAAAGTGAAGAGAAAACTTGTTTTAAACATGCTCGGGTTGGGCTGGGCACAGTGGCTCACCCCTGTAATCCCAGGACTTTGGGAGGCTTAGGTGGGTGGATCACGAGGTCAAGAAATAGAGACCATCATGGCCAACATGGCGAAACCCTGTCTCTATTAAAAATACAAAAGTTAACTGGGCATCGTAGCGTGTGCCTGTAGTCCCAGCTACTGGGGAGGCTGAGGCAGGAGAATCGCTTGAACCCAGGAGGCAGAGATTGCAGTGAGCCAAGATCGCGCCACTGCACTCCAGTCTGGCTACAGAGCGAGAATCCGTCTCAAAAAAAAAAGAAAATTGCCCAAGTCGGGTGGTGGTGGCATGCACCTGTAGCTACTTGGGAGGCTGAGGCAGGAGGATTGCTTGAGCACAGGAGTTCGAG